AAGCGCCACCGGAAACCAGCCTACTTCCTCCTTTCAAATCACAGTCCGACCAGAAGCGAATTGCCCTCTGGGAAGTGTAGTCAAAGCGCGGGTCTTGCCTCACCGCCAAGCACTGGAAAGGGGTGACTTCTGGACACTCGCCGCGTCGGGCGCAGGGCATAGTGGGAGCTGTAGCCCATGAACAGTACTCAACAATACTTGAGTTTGAAGGCGGAACGTCTCGATTGAGTGGGGGGTTGGACTACATGACCTATAAGGTCCCCACCAACTCTGTTAATCTGATTGGAACAAAACATTATTATTTTGTTCCAAAATGTTTAGCAATACCTTTTCCGACTAATCAATGTCCCAAAGATGCTTTTTCAAGAGGCAACTGGACTTTCTGGTTTTTCTTTGAAGGCGTCTCGCTTCTCATCCAAGAAGTTTCTTCAACTCTGAAGAAGCTTCTTGGATGAGAAGGTGAAACGTCTTAAAAGAAAAAAAAAAACCAGAAAGTCCAGTTGCCTCCTGAAAAAACACCTTTGGGACAACCATGACCTGGATGACTGAGAATCTCCATAGACGTCGGTCTAATCAATGTTATTAAAAGGCATCAGTTTTCATGAATTGCAGTGCACTTCACAACAGGTGCATACAATGGCTAAGTGAATTGGAGCTCACCAAAGTTTATGCTTTTTAAAAATGATTACTTGAAAAAGATGCTATTAAGCTTCTGATTTTTTTGACACCATAGACTGACATTCCTTTTCTCCTACAAATCTTTTGTACCCCGATCCAAAATCAGAGAAGCAAAGCAAGGATTTCGTTAAACGTTTGTTATTGCTAAGAATCTGCAATTAATATACAAATGCGGTCCTAAACTCATGCACAATGAATATTATGAATTGCATCATCTTGAATTTTATTTTACAAAAACACATCTGGATTGCAAAAATCTGAATATCCACTAGAAGTTGTCAAAGGGTTTAGAGATTTGGATATCTTTTGGTGATAATCTAGTGATTCTTTGGGTATTATCAGCCTATATATGGCAGCTGTAAGCCCCCAGTCCTACTAAAAGTTTGATAGATTTCAATCCAATGTGGAAAAAATACAAAACCCAACACAACATATTAAGACATAATGGAATTTGTTTGGTTTTGGCTTAGACTTTATGGCAGGATGTCAGACTCACGGCCCACGGCTCAGAAGCATCACGTGCTGGCCCCGCCCCCACCCCAGTTTAGCGAAGGGGGAAAAAGTCTCAATACATCATGTCACAACGCCGTGACGACACGAGTTTGACACCTCTGCTTTATGGTCTTTGTCAAAAATCAGCTGTTAATATTTATAAAGCCAAAGAACCTATTCCTCCAGGTGTTTTCCTCAGAGAGTTGGCACATTCCCCTCAAAGGTTGAGGACATACAGAGTCGTAGGTAAGCTTTTCTGTTCTGTACACCTCAAAACATGTTTTGAAGATCATATTATTATATATGCAACAGTGTGAAATCACACCTGCCAGTTCTTTAGCTGGGGTTGACCTTCATACCTATCAGATTTCTTCCAAGAACCTAGAACAGGGCTGTCAAGCTCCTGGCCCCGCAGGCCGGATGAGTGCTGGCCACGCCCCCCCACCTGGTTTAGTGAAGGGGGGAAAGTCCCAATATGTCATGTGATGCCGCCATGATGACGTGAGTTTGACACCCCTGACCCAGAATGTCATAATGTATCAGCATAGTATTTGTGTGGATTCAAGCAGTATGGCCTTTTGTAACTGACAGATAGAAATTTTGTCAATGCACAGATTTTTCTAAGCATCATTCGTGATTTTTTGATATGGTAACCATAGGGGCCGCTGTGGCCAGTTTATGTCCTAAACTTTGATTTTCAGATCTTGATACTTTGCAATCTTCTCCAATTCTTTATTTTCTATCCTCCTGTAGCCTGGTATTGCCAATCAATTACCTGCATTTTTGTTCTTTTCAATTGTAAATTGAAATAATTTGCAAAATAATAATAATTATATTAAAATGTACATGCCGCCCAACAGCCAGTGATTCTGCTCATCCATAATAGTTTGCACTTTCTGCCTCCTGGCCTAATCACAAAAAAAATTAACATTTTTCAGAAAAAGAAACTATATACACAGTTTCCCTATTCTTTTAGCTTCCCAATCTGAAAAGTACAGCGCTAATTTTTGCAAAAAAGTCAACAACATGAAGAGTGCTTGATCTTCTAAATTTTGGGATTAGAGATTCTAATGTCTGCTTATTATTTTCTAACACCTTTGAGCTTTTGCAACCTAAAACACAGGTGCTATTCATGGAAATTATTCCTTTTCTTTTTCAGAAGAATATTTATTAAATAGATTTCAAGAGCAGTTCACAAAGGAAACAAAGTTTGTTGCTGCCATTTCACAATCTGGTTTCCAAAAAAGGAAGTTATCTATGCAAGTGTTGCCCTCTAGTGTCCTCTATGAAGTATTTCTGAAGTATCGAACATAGGTGGACTTGATTGACAAGAAATAAGATGCAGAATATGTTCTACTTCCTTTAACGAAATATTTATTTCTGTAATATTGAAGTTAAGGAAAAGACCTCTGAAGAAATTATTTATTATCATATGATTTCTTTGTTAAAAGTGAATGCAAATATGTTGACTTTAAGTTTGCTTAAAGGCAAAAAATATATATTTTCCAAGCATTTTAAGCGCTCAAGAGAGGTATAAAAAGGACTGTGTTTCCATCTCTGTGTATTAGATATGCAATGTGTGGAAGGGAAATTGAGAAACATCTACAGTATAAGGACACAAACTACCTTTAGTAAATTGTATTTTATAAATGTGTACTGGTAGTCCTTGATTTACAACTATTCATTAGTGACCATCCCAAGTTACAACAGCATTGAAAAAAGTGACATGACTGAGTCTAGCAATTACAACTGTTACAGCATCCCCACAGTCATGTGATCAGAACCTGGTTATATTCATGATGGTTGCAGCATTCTGGGGTCATGTGATCAGCATTAGTGACCTTCACAACCGGCATCCATCAAGAAAAGTCAATGGGGGAAATCAGATTCACTTAACAACTACACAATTCACTTAATGACTGCAGTGATTCACTTAACAACTATGGCATAAAAGGTCATAAAATCAGGCGCAACTCACTTAACAATTGCCTTCCTTAACAATGAAAATTCTGGCCTCAACTGTGGTCATAAGTCAATGATTACCTATACAGTAACCCTCTATCTATATCATGTCTGTTGAAGAAAAAACATGATTTTTCTCGATTGTGTTCACAGCTCTTTTTTCAGTGCTGTACAAAGAGGCTGTGTATTTATTTGCTGCTGTAATTTTTAGGAAGAAGGGCTGCCCTGAAATGGGAACTAATTTGAGAAAGAGACTTCCCTGGCACAAACATCACTAATTGTAGAAAATTCTTAGAGGCATTTGGAGTGTCAAAAAAGTCAAAATGGCAGTGTCACTCATGTGATAGGAATCCTGCCCTTTTGTATATATGTTGAACCTATGGTGCCTGTAATTAAGGGCAAGCCTTTAATCACACATGTCCAGCTGCCATCTTTTTTCCTCCTGCTGCTGGACCTAAACAACCTCCTGTAACTTGTGAATCAGCCTTTTGAATAGATGGATTTGAGGGGTACAGTAGATATTCATAAAGTTTATTCCCATTTGAGATTTGAACCTGGATGAAAGTAAAGCAGGTATTTGGGAAGTTCAAGAGTCCCGAAGCCATCTCTGGTTCAAATGCTTCAACAATGTCTTTTGTTTGGGACTCCCTACTAACAGTCGGTAAAGAAATTTGAACAGAACTACAGATGGACATGGGATTTCCCATCCTGTTGATCTCTAAAAACTTGCACTTTGCAATATTAATCTTGCTTGGTTTTTACAAATCCTCTTACTTTTTGAGACAGTGGTTTCTCCAGGTGAAGTGCTTTCAAAAAGCAGATGAATAAAATGGCAATGCCATTCGACTGAATAAAGAAAAAGGATAAAGGTTATGTATTTATCAGCAGATTGTGTTTTGAAGAGGTGGCAGAACTAGTCATCCTCACAAACTTTTACTCTCAGACCTCATCAGTTTCCAATGTCCCTTAAGTAAAGGGAAAAATATTATTGTGTTACCAATTATAGAAAGAAGAATCAACAGTCAGTTTGGCATTTTGGCTGTCTTCAGTATGTGAAATGGTGATATCCCATTTTGAGAGAGAGACAGACAGACAGTCAGACAACATTATAATATCACAGGACAAGAAAGAGTTAGGTTTTATGTCAGTGTTTGCCATTTACCGTGTTTGGAAAGGATTTAACAGAACATCTGAATTCTTCTATGAGATTTAGACTCATAGAATATATCCCGGTGTGTAATGAATGTCAGTGTGGCTACAGAGTTTAGTTTGTATCTGAGTCCATATCCAGCCTGTAAATATCCAGATAGTCATTAACAGCAGCAAAATTCTTTGCAGTCATCTCGCAGCCCCAATCTGATAGTCCCAGAGGAGCGCAATCTGCAAATTTTAATATGGATTTTAATATCCCCTGTCTGAATATCTCAGGTCTGCCCTTTGTCAATGCCACTCCCAAACATCTGGATTTCATACTCTTGTTCAGCAAAACCGGTTATATGACTTCAAAAGGTAAATGGGCAAGAAACCAAGATTCAAAGGAGTCTCCGGAAAAATTGTCAGGTGCTATATGCAAACTGGAGCTTCTCTGAACCCCACTTCTTCTCTTAATCCCCAAGGGCATTCATTAAAATGGATCCAAGAACCTGAAAAAGAATAAATAAACACTAGCAGAGAGAGAAAATAATGTTCTCTGGAATAAAATTCCACTTTGTCACTCAAAAATGAAGCCAGCACATCTTTCCTATTTGAAGTTAGGCAGTGTTGAAACAGCACCTTGTCTGAACGTTATTGAGACAATCATTTTCTTAACTGAAACCTTTTGTTCTCATTTGATCAGCAGAGAGCCCATCACACACAGGCACCAAACATTTGTCAAATAAATAACCATTTTATTTGTTGCTCTAGGCTTCAGTTGTCCTACATTAAAATAGTTTCCTTTTCTTGCAAAATGAAGCCATGAAAATGTTATATATGATCCAGAAAGATTTTGGAGAGAAAATATATTCTGAATATTGGGATATTTAGCACAATTTTGCATAATTTAACAATTTTTGAATTGTGATATTTAATTTACTTTTCTTCTTGCTGGCCTTGTATGAAGGAGAAAATGTTAACAGTAGAAAATTGTGTTATTGGGAAATACACACCCACACACACCCATGGAAAGAATTGAGAAACATAGAGATTAGCATGGGTCTGTCTATTGTGCCAATTTCCATTGAACTTTTGGTTCAACTTTCTTTTGCTTCCCGAGACTTCAATGTGGCACAACCTAACAAACAATTCTGGTAAAGATACGAAGACTACAGTATATAAAAGGAAAAATGAACACTGAGAAACTGAAACAAACAGCTCTCGACACACATATGCATCATTGGAGAGCATTTTAAGGTCAGAAAAGGTTACTCCTGGTGGATGAGATTGCAGGGCTGCACAATTATATGGAAGTTAGGGAATACTCTTATGCACTGCAAATTCCTGGTGCACTTGTCAATTTTCTGTACTCTCTGAACTGACCAGTTTTGCTTCCTTAAGATTGTTACTATATTTGGCACGTCATGTAGTTTTAATATCACCATCTGGTACCTTCTCAATGTAGAGAGAAAGCAGTTCCCAAAATTCTCAATAACCATGGTCATTGCTGGCAGGGAATGCTGAGAGTTTATTTTTTTACTTAGATAGAGGATACCTGGTTATGGAAGGCTCATTTTTTGAAGTCTTTGGCTACAGTATCCAGAGGAACTGAACCAAAAGTAATCGCTATTGAAAATAAAATGTTTGCAGCTCAAACTATAGCAAAAATAGTATTTTGTATTCTCAAAGTTCCTTCCATCAGGACTCATGTGAGATGAACAATAAACAACTTACAAAGAAAAAAAAAAGGCAATTGAACTAATGTCGTTTCAACCTACTACTTAAATTTGAAGAAGGAAATAGGGAAAGATGATTATTTCTGAAGTGCCAGCAATTCTTTATAGTAAAATTACTCCAGGTCAAAAGGAGGCACTAACTGGCACGAGGGATTCACCCAAATGTTTTTGAACTATAGCTTTCTATGGATGGGTATAATTTTCAGGGCACCTCACGGACAGCACAAATTAAAACAAGATGTCTGACAGCAGGAAGGATGTGTGGTAGGACTGAATACACAGAAGGGGGTTATGAAGTTTTCATTCATCCTGGAATCCTAAACTTCTAGGCCAAAATTGTGATATGCTATCAGAAGGCCATACAGGAAAAGGAGAAATTGTGCTGGATAGGCAATAGAGAAGCATTGGTGCTATGACATAGCTCAGGAGAAGCCGTGATTACCTTAGATGGGCATGAAATGAACTAGGGGAACATGTGCTCTTCCAGTTGTTGCTGAGCAACATCTGTCAGAATTCTGACCCAGGATAGCCAATGGTGACACAGCTAAATGTGTTTTTGAGACACTCATTTAACAACTGTCTTGCTTAACAATGGAAATTTTGGGCTCGATTGTGGTTGCAAGTGGAGGACTACCTATATGTAACAGCTTAAAGCAATGTGTGAACCAGATCATAGGCTTCATTTTACCAATGAAATGTAAACTCATTGCAATTAAAGTCATCGTTCTAATCTGACATTAGAATCATCTGAATTAGTTAGTTCCATCTGAATTAAACCAACTGGTTTATTTTATTTTGGCTTGGTGTAACAAAGGAATCCAGCCACTGAGATCATCCATGGTTTGTTTACTTTTAACTACAAGGAAAGCTTCCTGTATCTTCCTTAGATTTGATGATTTCTTTAATAGTAAGACAATTCAGAACAGGAGAATGTGGAGCTGTAAAATGTGTTCCTACAATATAAAGGTCAGTTGTTCACCCAGTTGTTGCTTCTGCCTGTCCCTGGGCCTTTTTGTAGCTCAGTCATGCCTAGCCCAAATACCAGTGAGCCCTCTCATTTATAATCCTATAAATCAAAGACAGCCTTGATTAGAAGGTGGATGGAAAGAGTCCAAAGCAGAAGATAACAATTACTAGAGAAGGGAGGGAAGAAATGAAGGAACAAACAAACAAACAAATGAAAGAAAGAAAGAAGAAAATAAAATATTCAGAATAGTGATGTTTCCAACTACAAAGGTTAAGAATGAGTTGATGGGGCGGGTGAGCAATCAACATTCTGTATTAGTCAAAATTAAATGAAATTAACTGGATACTATTAGCAGCTGATTTTGTGTGTGTGGGTTTACTTGAGCAGCACGTTGGAGAGAAAGGGTTCCAATTGCCATGGTGTATTTATTAAATACTCCCCCATATACAAACATACACATTCTTCCTCGGCTGCCATATTCTGCATTTCACACATTGATAAATCAAGATTGTCAAGTGCAAAAAAAAAAAAAAGAAGAAGAAGAAGAAGAAGAAACCTAGCTACAGGTCAGGCTTCGGTGAACGTGCTGCTCTGATGTAGTTATCGGAGGCAGTGATATCACTGTTCATGTGCTGCTCCAGGAACTCTGAGGTCTCTTCTGCAATTTGCCCAGGGATCCGGAAATCAATGGTAGCTTGGTCCCTTTTGGGGCTAGGCTGGGTAAGAGCATTTCTGGCCTCAGCGTGGCAACCTGTCCCTTGCAGGAACTGCAAGAAGTTCTCCTCAATGGAACCTTCTCTGCTGGGTAACCTGAGATTCTCCTCTGGTGGTTGCTTGAAGAAACAGGTGAGGTGCTTGCTGAGCTCTCCTCTGATCTGTCGGTTGAGGCATCCATAGAAGAAAGGATTGGACGTGAAGCAAAAATAACCAATCCAAGTGACCACATTCTCCGTCTGCTGGCCAGGAAAATGGGAGCTCAGCACTGAGTAGAGATGGAAGGAGAAATAGGGCAACCAGCAGAAGAGAAATTGTCCCCCCACTGCTAGGAAGATGATTACAGCCTTCCCACCCCCAAACGTCCTCTGAGGGGTAGTTCGAGGGGCTCCTGAACTAGTCACCATTGTGGACCTACTACTAAGAGATTCTGATCTTTGCCGTGGGGTATCCATCCAAGTGGGAAGTGGACCATGGTGCATGGCAGCCACTCTGGCCACTTTAAACATATTACAGTAGACCACCAAAATAATGGAAACCGGCAGGAGGAAGTAGAAAACAGCAAAGAAAATCACAAAAAACTTGCAGTAGGCACTTTGGCTCCACTGCAAGGAGCAGGTCTGTCCGTTGTAGGCTAGGGATCTATTGATATGGTCTTGGGAAAGCCATCCCAGGATGGGGATGATGGACATAACTACTGCCTTGATCCAGACACCAATCAGGACACAGACCACCAGGCTTACAGTCATTTTGACCTCATAGCGCATGGGGTGCACCACATAGTAGTAGCGCTCTACGTTAATAGCTGAGATTGAAAGGATGCACATGGTGATGAAGCAAATACTCAGGAAAAGATAGGTATGACATATGGCATCCTCAAAGACTGTGCCATCAAAGAAAGTTGAGCTGGACAGCATGGCTAGAGGCATTAGGGTAATAGCAGCCAAAAGATCCACCAAGCAGAGGTGGAACACAAAAACAAACTTCCTCAGTGCTGGGGTTTTGATAATGACCGTCATAATTGCTACATTGCCCACAATGGCTGTCAAATCAATCAAAAGCATGAAGAAGAGACCCACAGACTCGGAGGCCACATCTCTGGGCTTGGTGTCTAGGCTAGAATTGAGAAGCATAGAACTCTGGGATGTCTGAAGCAGTCTTCTGATCCTGGCAGGATTTCGTACCCACGGGGTGGGAAGAGAAGGCTCCATGGAGATTAGCACCTCCCTTTACAAGTCCATCACCCATCCTATTCTGGGTCCCCAGAAAGTAATCAAAGAGAATCAAGAGAGATGGTGGTGTACAAGCAGCCACGAGCCATTTTGTTTGCCAACATTCAAGTCCAGCAGGTCTTTGGGGTACTTATACTTTCCAGTTCCACACAGTTCTATGAGCCATTATAATCAGGGGCTCTGCTTAATTCACCAAATCCGTTTCATCTTGATTGTATGTCATAGGATATAATAGCATGGCAGTGTAGAAAGTCCGTGGGACCCAGCCTGAAGAACAGTCCCTTCCTTGCTAGGTGTATAAGGCTTTACTGCATTTTGCAACATGCTGTTTCCGGGGCAAATGTTTGCACCTGAAAGAAATACAGATATATTTAAAGATTAAACACTGGGTTAACCAAAACTGTTCCACTGGCAGCGTTACTAAAATGGGGCTGACTAAAATGGGCAGTTCTACCTTTAAAGCAGATTGTCCTTCAGGGGAACCACTTGGACGGTTGCTGTGAAAGTCAGGCCCTTTGAACTTTCTGGAAAATAATGAGTATGGTCTGTTTCAGGGGACCTCATAGTGGGTGCTCCCAAGAGAGGAGAATAGGATTCTGAGTTCGGCCCCCAGCCTACTGGGAGTTGAGTCCTAAATGAGAATGTGCATCTAACCATACATTTATCCTGCATAAAATCAGGAGTTAAGTTGAATTGTTTCTGAATATGCAATTTTTATTTTATGCATTATTGTCCCATTTTCTTTCCAGGTTAATAATGTGAAGCATGCAGGAGATATCTCGGCAGTAGGAAGATGGGGTAGAAGAGAGTAGAAATCCCAGTGTGGATGATCACACAGAGAGAGGAAGACATTTAAAAGACAGAAGAGATATACAGCAGACCAGCACTCTATTTGGCTCCTTCCTCTTTTACTCAGCTCTCTGAGTGGAACTACCACATGTTATGATTGCAGATGAAAGCGCTAACCTTGTGTGCACTCCTAGAAGATGGGTAACTACTCTGAATAAAGAGTACATACCTTTTTGAGTACAGCTTCAATCATGACTGCAAGAATTGTTGAGATCCATCAAATCTTACTGACCAAAAAAAAACTTCTTCAAAGATGATGAAAGCCTTTTCCTGGGGTTTGGTTAAGGATAGACTATGTTTACTATTAGTATTCAGCCCACACAGCTGTCTAAACAAGAGGGCTGTGGTGGCTTCAACAGAAGGATTTTTAAAATGTATGTTGGGACTGCCCTTATTCAAGAAGTTTTGAATTTCATGTGATAACCATAGGTTTGTTTTGTCAAACAAAGAAACAAGGCAGGGCATATCCTTGACTTATTTATTTTTTCTTTGCAGGTAGGGCAAATAGTTCAGATACTGCAAAGCAAGAGTCAGCAGTTGCTCACTATCTTAATGCGGCCATCATCTGGTGGTGAATGTTAAGGGTCAGCTCTTAATATATTATTGTCTTTCTATAGAAAAGAAATCTTTACAAAGACAGTTGGTCTCCACAGACTTTGGAATGTTTTGAGTGATGGTCCTGTCAAGGCCTTTGTTGTTCTATGTAGCGTTGAAATAAAATGGACCACTGAGAAGATTATTCTTAAGATCCCTCTCTAGTGTTCTGGAGCAACGTTTTCTGGGATAGACTGGGTAATAATACTATGTGAGAGATAGGTAGAAGGTAAATGCTAACTTGCCATGAATTGATCAGATAGACATTCATGTACATAATTTTGCTTTCCATTGCATCCTCAAGTAGCCACCCAAGAGAACTTGTTAGAGTGATTAAAGAGTTATATATCCTATAAAACATGTTAGAGACCTTCAAAATCTGCTGTGACACATCTGCAAAGGCACTTTGATGGAAAAAGTGTCATTCATCTTCATGCCAATTTTAACCTGGTTTTAATATTGAGGTATAAAGTTCATCACTTGGCTTAATCATAAGGAACCATTCTCAATATCTGAGGCAGAATACATGGACAAAATGCTAATATGCATCATCTTGAACCCTGCCAGTCCTGATTTTTCCAAAAAAAACCAAAGAAGGATGACTAAGTGGATCCATAGGGTGGTGAACATGCCTTTGTGTGATCGATTGATAACAGCCGGTTGCCTATACTCTCCTAAATAACTCTCCCTAGGTCCAAGGATGCTGATACACACATCCTTTGCTAAAGCAATATGCTTGAGAGGATGGTGTCTATGCTCCTTTTTTGTGTTCTTAAAGGCGATTGATTACATTGACTCTTTTAAACTGAGTTTAGGCATGGTTGGGGACAGATCAGCCTAAGTGACCTTGGCAGATGATTTCCTGCAAGAGAAAGACAGAGGGAACATGACTGATTGATCCTGCTTTGTTTTTTCAGTATGTAGTTTCGATCTCATTGATCAGGATTATGCCTGTGAGCTTGGAGTGGTTCATTTCCTATTTTTAATGTTGAGCTCAGAAACCAGCTACTGTATGTGCTGCTGCCACGAGGCTTTATCTTGTCCAAAATAGTAATTAACATTAACATATTTCGAGACATTGAGTTATCAATATGCTGAGGCTACTCAATTCTATTTAGTTTCAAAAGTTATTCAGATCGGGGGGGGGGTTCAACTTTGCACACGCAAAGAACTTTATTAGCTTTCATTAAAGGAACCCCACTTTTTGTAGGTATCCATTTGAGCTTGAAAAACAGGTGGAGTTGCTGTAAGAATAGCATTAACTTTAATGAGTGGATTCTTTAAAATAACAGTATCCTTTTATTTCAGGTTGAAAAAGGTCAGACTGCTTTAATACATAGCAAGGAAGTGATCCACTTATGCCAGATCCAAAGTACTTCTTCCAAAGTACATAGAGCCCTAATATAAACCATCTGAAAAATAGGCAGCATATTTTGAATTAGTATTGGGTTAGGGTTAGAGTGCGGCCCTCCCAAGCTCCATTTTTGCTGGCAGAGGGTTGCAGGAGGCTGTTGCAGCCAGAAACGCAGCTTGGGAACCCCCTTTTCGCTGGCAGAGCACTTGGGCCACCACAGGCGTCCCCGACATGAGTGACATCGAGCAGGCCATGCCCATTCTGGCCACACCTACTCTGCCCCCCTGGGTCAAATACAACCCTGATGCGGCCCTCAATGAAATCAAGTTTGATACCCTTACACTAGACCAACCTGACTCTCAGTTAACTCCCAATCCAGATTCAGTATTTTAATTCTACATATAAAATCCTAAGCGAAGCTTTTTCATGATAGATCGAGGTGAACCTACTTTACAATGTTCTACCTTGAAGTGATATCTGCATAATTTCCTCATTGAAATCCATAAGGCACCAGCAGCTATATCACTGAGGAATCAATCTTTTCACCCAAACTTTCACTGGGACAATGTTACAGAAGAATTGGTCTGTTCCTTTTCCCCTTTTAAATAATGTGATTTATATTGTATTAATTTATTGTGCATGATTATATTTTTTCTTCACTTGGAAACCACTTTTGAATATAATTATGCAGAAAGCTAAATACTGTAAAAGTACACTAATAATAATGTGATTGCAAATATTTATATCTTAACAATCTGCTTGAGTTCAAATTACAGTAAATTAAACACTATTGCATTAAAATATGCTAGCTATGTTTACACATAATATTAGGATATAAACCTTTGTGCATAAGCCACAATGGCTATATTCACACATTGCCTTAAACCAAACAAAACACCCCCATTATGTTTTACCAATATGTGTAATTCCAGCAAAGGCCCTGGGGACATGGGTTTCTTTTAAATAACAATGCTTTCAATACCAGTTTCCCTAGAATAATTTCCATAAAATTCCGTTTGGTTGATTGGCAGTTTTCTGCTCCATCGTGGAATTTTTAGGGAAAGCGGGGGGGAGGGGATTTTAGTGTACTTCACAATTTGCCCAGTTCAGTTTCAGATGATAGTACCAGTAGTATTTGCTTAATAACCATTCATTCAGTTGCTGTTCAAAGTTACGATAGTGCTGAACAAATGGTAGTTATGACCGGTTCTCAAAATTACAGTCATTGCAATGTGACCCTCCATGATCATATAACCAAAATTTGAGTGCTTGGCAGCCCAACCACATTTATGACCGTGGCCTCAACTCTCTACTCCCCCCACCTATCTACCCCCCCATCTCTGCCATTTTGGCCACCCTGCACTCTAGTGCCCCTGCTGCCCTGTTGCCCTGCACTCGGCCACCTCTGCTGCCCCAGCCTCCCCCACTGTCCCCAGCTGACTTCTACCATCATCTTCCCACTATTACTGATGAGGTGAGCCCAACCTAGGCATATGCTGGCCCTTCACAAGACCTTCATGAGGCCTTCATAGCAGCCACCTATCTCCTCACCCATCTGTGCTAAATGCATTGCATGAGGTGATGAGGGCCTGAGTGATTGTGTGAAGGGCTCAGACAATCTAGGAAAGGAAACAAGCTGGGCAAAGGTCTTCCTGGTCATTGCTATCAACTGTTCATCAAGCAGGAACTGTATGTCCAGAAAGATCCCCAAATTGTGCATCATCCTTGAATGGAATATGCTACCACATCCAAGGACAAAGGCAGAATATGTCCAGACCTGGATGATCCAAACTTGGTCTTGGAAGAATTGTGTCAGAGACAGTTCCCCATCCAAACCTTCATAGTCTCTGCACATATCATCCAAAACTGTCTCAGTACCTAAACCTAACTGAATTCCCAGCCTTAAACCTAAATGAAATGGGTCTAGATAATCCATTTCCTCCAAAATTCCCATCAGCTACAAATGAACCACCTTCTTAACATTCTCCACAAAAAAAAAAATGAAGAATAGTCTATAGTTACTGAAAACTGTTGAATCCAAGGATGACTATTTGAGGAAGGGGCGTGCCACCCATTCCATCTAAGAAGCCAACATGGACCCAACCATGGGTTACCTTCTTAGTCTCTTTAACAACCCAGGCCGAACCAGATCCAGCAAACAGATGGGCTAAGCTAATACCACAGAGAGCCAGTCCACATCTTTAGGAGTCACCGGCTCAAACACATCTCCGATCACACTACCAGATCAAGCCCTAAGCACCTCGGCCTGGCCTGCCCAGACCGAATCCAAGATAAAAAAAATTTGAGCAACTTTAGCCACCAGATAGCCTGAGTAATCCTCACAGAAGCTCAGGAAATGTTCTGGGGGCCCTGCTCATCCAGTAGGAACTGGATAATCCTAAACAAGGCTGCTGGACAGCTATCAGCATACACAGTAAGGGTGGAGAAATATTGATGTCTTACTGCCCTTGTCATTATAAAGTAGGCACTAATATTGGCTCTTATCTTTGTCCAGTTAGAGTCACTTCAAGTCTTCCCTCAACAGTATTCTAGGAATCCCTTCGGGTGTTTCATCTTCTGGAGTCCATTGGGAAAGCAAGATGCATCCCATAATCATGTAAAGCAGAGGTGGGGAACTATGGCCGCTTTATGACTCCTACACTTCCATAGCTGGCTCAGGAATTCTGGGAGCTTAAATCCATAAGTCATAAAAGGGCCATAGTTCCCCACCCCTGATGTATAGGAAGAGGTTGCATAGGAACAACATAAACTAAGGTCCCAGCCACCTGCCCATTCCAAGCCTAAGTCTGTGATGGTGAACCTATTTCACGTGTGTCAGAGGTGGCACGCAGTACCCTCTCTGATGGCATGCAAGCCATCGCCCCAGATCAGCTCCACCATGCATGCGTGCGCGTCTCCCACCAGCCAGCTGGTCTTTGGATCCCTGCTGCGCATGCGTGAGGGTGGGGCACGTGCAGGGAGACCGTGGGCGCATCTGTGGGGGGGCGTATGCATGAAGGACGCACACACATTGCATTTTGGGGTTTTGTGTATACTTTGGGCACTCGATCTGGAAAAGGTTAGCCATCACTGGCCTAGGGGCTTAGCCAAAACACTCACCAGATCCTCAGAAAACCCCAAGCTCCCTCTGGAACCCCATTGGTCCATCGGCCATTGGGATGAACCAATCAAATCGGCCCTGCCTTCCTGCAGAAAACAGTGACACCGAGTGAGTCAAAAACCAATCAGGAAGTGATTTGTCCATGGCAATGGACTGATGTTGATGACCACTGCCAGATCAAATCTCAACTACTCTGAGACAAAAAATAGTTCTAGTATATGATCCCTGGCATACACCTGGGCATCGATAATTTGGGACAAGTCCTGTAGGCCACAAATTTCTGAGTTGCCCTAGAATCAGTGTCATCAAAGAGCAATAAACTTGGGGACTCTATTGCCAACCAAGATATTGCTAACTCATTATCTATTGCCAAATGATCATGTAAGAACTTAGCCTTCAGAACTTAGTAAAATCTTCCCCTTGCATCTGTGTAAGTTGGTAGGCTGCTACAAGTGGCTGCTAAAATGGAATAGTTTCATGCTGTAAGTATTGATTTAGAAACTTCAAGCCTTTTTCAGAATTTCCTTCAGCAATTTTCTCCCTCTTTCAGACTGTTATTGAAGGATGAATTAATTTTTCTCTGTAAGAGAAAAAGAGAAATCTTGTAAGGATTTCCTTAATGTACCTTCGCAATTTTGAGAAGGACAGACCAGTTAAAGGGTTTTGTGTATAATATTTCAGTAAAATGATCCTCTCACAGATACAATGGAGCCCGGTAGAAAATTGAAAAAGAGGAAATCCTCTAACTCTTTGCTCATTAGTGCCTTTATGTTCGTAGGAGAAATATCATATCTTTTTAAAGGGAAAAGGTTTGATTTTGTCTGTTCCAAATTATGGGACTTAACTACATATAAAGGCTATTTTTTTAACTTTGGTACATTATGGGATGCGGTAAGGGAAGATGACCAGCAGGATCCAAGAAGTATAAAAATCAAATAAATTAAGAAAGATGAGATTTCAGTCCAACTGAGGTGAAAGGTTTTTTAAAAAATCATTCTAGATAAACTCCTGCCAGGGATTTCTCATCTAAGACATTCATGTTCTACATACACTCACAATGTCCACCTGGAACGTGACAATATAAAAGCTGTCTTGTCCTCCTATTGATTCAGTATTGGCTAGGAGAGTCTGCTGGGTTTCAGAAAGAAAGATTTCCCTGCTCTTTTGAACTGGAGATCCCACTGATGGATACACAACAAGGCATGGAAGCTTTTTTTGAAATCCAGGTTCCAGAAGAAGATGTAATTCAGAACAAGCTAATTATGGGGCACACATACAGCTTACTTACATTTATTGTTTGAAGCCAATTGAACGCCAGGAAATTAGAAGAAATGATTAAGTCACTGTGATGAAATTTATGGTCAGGCAGTTATCCCCAGTGAGAATGATACCAATACATTTTTTCTTTAAACATCTGCAATTAGAGGACCTAGTGTGGATAGTGTAAGTTAGCTGATTAACCATAGCACTAACCTCTGTTATAGATTTGTGAACTCTTATGGGTCTGAGGGCTTTGCACAATATACTGAAGGTTGCGTTCTAAAAAGTGGTTGAGCCAGGAACCTAAACCAATAGTGGGTTTCAAATCCTGTCACTACTGGTTTGCTCGTGGGCGTGCATGCGCTTGTGCATACAACACTTCTGCGCATGCACAGAAGCATCTAGATGGGTGGGCGGAGCCTCCCGTCACCGCCGCTACCTGTTCGCCTGATCCGGGGCGAACAGGTAGCAACCCACCACTGACCTAGACCACGTTTGAGGGGGTACCTAGAGATTTAAGATATAAAATAGGTAACTTAAATTCCAGTAAGGCTTAAGGTTCTAATTCTGCTTCTTAATTATTTCCTTCTCCAATCCTCCAATAGAAAAACAGGCCAATTTTTCTGGCCCGTTCTTGGCATTCCTGCTTTGTCATGTTAGTTCCCAAGCACAGTAGTGAGACTATGCAACTTAGCATGACTAGCAGGCAAAACAACACCTCTTACAAGAATAGAGAGCTTTGGTGCATGAGATAATGAGGATTTTCTTTTCTACTTGATCCTCCCATGCATATGGCCATATCAAACCTGAAGGATCTGCAGAAGGCACTTACCCACTTGAGTTGCTCTGAAGCAGACAGCTGCTGACTGGTCATCTTGCTTTCAAGAAGGTCCATGCTGATGTCCTGGAAATATCCCTTTGCACTCCAGTTCAACAAATAGGTTTGGAGCACAGCACTGATGGGGAGTAAAACAAAACAAAATAAAAGCAAAGTGTTTCTATCTATGACTTCAGCTTGGCCCTGGATAATATTAGCTTACTCAGCTTACTTATTTGGCTCCACCCCATTTCTTCTGGCCCAGTGGCCAAAATCCATGGTTTAGCATCCATGATTGGAGCAGAAATCCATTCTGGCCTCTAGTTGGACTCTCTGGGACTTCCCAAAAGTCACTATCGGAGCACTTATTTAGATGTTTTCCCAATTTCTTCCTTTCTCCATCTCTTTACCCAAAACTCTCAACCAAGCAGCTCTTTCCATAGTCTGGGATGGAAGCAGGAACACCCTGGCAGCACCAACTTCTCCCTCATCTTACCAGACAAAGATGACTTCTTTCAGTTAGTGTTCCTTCAAAAAAAATGAACACCCACAAAGTATTTATCTCTTCTATGAACAGGAGAGTTTCCCCTCATTCTCCATACTTTATAATTCCTCATGACCAAATATATGTTCCTTGATTATTTATTTACTTACAATTCAAAGCTATAGCCCATCCCACTCATAACAAGGCATACAGTTAAAAACGATCCAAACGAGAAGAAGGTGTAACCAGGAATGAAAATACCACACATATAAATACAAATTCCCCACAGTTCCTCCCTAACCTGAGGAAAAACCCAAGTCTTCAAAGCCAGTTAAAGAAGGGCAAGATTGGGGAAACTCAATTGTCCAGGTGACGCTATTCCAGAGGATAGATGCCATGACAGAGAAGACATGCCACCCATCTCTTTTCAGATGGCCTTGTTTTAAAAATGGGTTCCAGGGCATGCCACTGTTAGACTTTACTGGATGGTTCAGATACTATGGCTTCCAAATGTTCCCAACTGCTGAAATTCTTACTGGCAACTCTCCTTATCTATCAGCAGTAGTACACGTAAGGTAAATACGGTCTTCAAGAAACACCCACTCATGCATACAAGCTCAAATCCTGCTCACGTGGATTTCCTCCACTGTCCTGCTTCCAGTCTTGTGAGACAAAGAGCACCCCCCCCCAAAAAAAGCTGGACTTCCAAGTCTTTTTCCTGCTCTTTTCCATCTGAAATGAATGGACACCTCCTACCCTGGCCGAAATGCCATCACTCCTGTCCATTGTTCCTGCTCAAGAAACCTTACCCTAGGCTACTCCTACTGCCGTGTAGTACTTGGAGACCAGCAGTGAAGAAGCAGGCCTCATCTCATGCCAGAAGGGAGACGAATAAGAATCCTGAATGGAGAAAAGAATAGAAGAGGTTGGTCTTGCTCATCTCTTTGCTCTTCTGCGGGAGAAATCTGTTCCCAGCATCACATGCAAAAAGAATCCTCCCCAAATAGCTTATGCTCTCATTGCTCTCTCTATGGTCCTGTACTTATCTCTGTCTCAGCATCTTTGGGAGAATGGACTGGCTATTAACCTACACACAATCACCTGGATGATGGGAAAGCGCCAGCAATATACTACCCCAGATGCCTGCAAGTTGCTGCCTGGCCACAGCTGACCCTCCTCTCTGCTCCCAGTTCCAGTTCATACCTTCCCTAGGTAGACTTCCAGCATACTGGATATCTCCTGCTTCTCTTCCACTGTAACTGATGCACAGATCCACTGCAGTGAAGGGTGAGAGGCAGCCAAGAGCTTGGGGAGAGTCTCAGCTTCTGGGTCCTAGATGCCTCCTGATTTCCATTTCAGTCCTCTAAATTTCTCCTGTGCACAGCCTGGTATGCTACAAGTGGTAGGGCAAGAAAAATGTCAGCCCTTAAAATAAAGACATGTTCAGGATGGCTAAACCAGACTGCTCCAGCCCTAAAACATCAGGAATGAAATGAAGAGAATGTAGATTATAATACTTCTGTGAAGTTTACCTTCTTCCAGGTTTCAGAATCATGCTTTGCCTTCTTCTTTGAAAAGACCAGCATAACAAAACAAAACAAAAAAGGTAAAAACTTGAAAATAGCGCGCTCTATAAAACCCAGGGTTTTCCAGATGTGGGAAGTAGCTGGAGCTTTTTTTTTTTTTTAAGGCTCTGGGTTTTATTTTTTACTGTTGCCTACCATAATGAGCAGGACTGGTTCCGACTTCCCTTTCTGCTCCACAGAAAGGCTCCAGCCTCCCATATTTCCGTATGAAATAAACATGCAATTGGTAGTCTCTTCTAGGTTACAGCTGCTATTTCCTGGCAGCAGTTCACACAAGTACAGCCCTGCATTGAGCCAAACCAGGTCAATAGTTAACTGCCTTTAAGTGGCCACATTTCTTCTAGTCACGACTGGAACATGCTGGCTGAACAAAGCAAGCATCTGAAAAGCTTCAGATCTCTCTCTCTCTCTCTCTCTCTCTCTCTCTCTCTCTCTCTCTCTCTCTCTCTCTCTCCCTCCCTCCCTCCCTCCCTCCCTCCCTCCCTCCCTCTCTCTCTCTCATTTTCCTTTTGTGTATTTCTTTCACAGTGAGATGTGGCAACATCTTCAATCATCTAGTGGACTGTATGATTGAGTCTCTGGACTGCAAAGGCCACCTGGTTTCCAGTTCATCTGGCTTCCATAATCTCTGTCAATTCTCATGCCTTTTGGAAAAGCTACCCCCCCATGCCTCCCCCCATCCCACACAATGTCAAGCAATCTTTATAAACCTAAAGTTCTACCCCATGTCTTGGGTTAGGATACTTGGGTGGGCCCATTAAGTTGGGCGATGATGCAGAAAGATGGCCGTTGTTTTTATATAATGCTTTTTAACTTTGGGAGGCTGCTCAGAGTTGTTTCGGATAATCTAGAAGGCTAATAAATAAATAAATCATAGAAATTGAAATCCTAGACATCTGAAGGGCCATCTTGAAGAAATTGGCTTCTTTTCAGGGCTGGCCTCAGGCACAGTTGCATCTAAAATAAAAGTTAAATAAAAATGAAATGACAGTTAACTGCTTTTATTTCATTTGAAAGCAGAGATATCACTCAGATATGATACTAGAAATGACCTGAGCACAGCACAAGACACCAACCACCAATACAGAGTCTACCCTATCAGCTAAGAGACAAGATATTGGTGGGTCATGTTGAAACAAGTACAGGGTGCAACACATATTATTATAGCAGACCTGGGAGCCTGTAGGGGAAGGCAAGTGATCTAATTTGCATTATTGCATCATGTGACTGACACAAATCACATCCTTCTCATCATTGCCCACACTTTGACATTCTTTCACAAAGCCCTGAAGCCCTGGTTTTGCCAACGGGCCTGGAGAACCTACAGTGGGATGAAGCCAGGGGTGGGTCTACTTACCTTTACTACTGGTTTGCAATGGGGCCGTGTGCGTGCTCTTCTACGCAAGCGCAGAAGCATTTTGATGACATCGGGGTCAGTGGGAGGAGCCTCCCGCTGGTTTTACTACTGGTTCTATAGAACCGGTGCAAACCGGAGGCAACCCACCACTGGTTAGAGCCCATCAAGTGGCTTATTTAATTGGCTAATTGTGGTTGCCCAGGGGGTGGGGTGCGGTTATTGCTTTTTATTGTCTTTATGTTGGGTTTTTAATCTCTGTAAGCCATCCAGAATCATTGAGAGCCAGTTGGGCAGCCATATGAATATTTCTTAAATAAATAAATTGTACTTATGTCATGTCATAACAAAAACTCACCCTGCATATGTTGAGAAGGATGTGATGTGTGGCTTCTAGAGGACCTCTGGATTAGCAGACTTTCACATAGACACTGAGAAGCAGAAGGTAGAAGGAACAGAAGAATCTCTCGGGTCATCAAGACTTAGTTTTCGACTGCAAGACTTGTACCTTAAAATATACAATGTAAGATGAGAGTAGCTCTGAATGCTTGAAAAATAATTGCACTTTTGTATCTTAAAAGCATCACTTGACCTAACATTCAAAGCAAACGGTGCAATATATAGATAGATTTCAACCTCAGAAACCCTAATTTTAGAATCAAATGCACAGCAGTATGATCTTAGCCTGTTTACCTACAGGTAAGGGCTTAATGGGGTAAATGTTTAATAAGCATGTATAGGATTACAATGTAAAGCTTTCGGAGCACGGCCATGTTTGTCTTTTGTCGGAAACACTTTACTTAGGATCAGCAGACTTTCCCAGACAATACTCACAACACTGTGTGATAAATATAGCTTTGTTTCTCACAGAAACCTCACGACTTCTTTGGAGGCTACAATTTGGATCTTAATTTATATAGCAGAGGTACAGCTTGTTGGATTTCCTCAGAAGTGCTTATTCATATGATTAGTATTCCAGATATGGAGGCCTTGTTTCTCAAGGCTCTGCAGGAACTCACAATGAAGCTAAAACAAGGGGATTGAGTTTAAGTATGGAACGCAAGTCTCTTTTTTCCTAAGGGCTTTCTCTCAGCATGCCATGCAAGCACAGACACTGTATTGCCTACTAATGGCAACATAAACAAGTCACATCAACAAATGGGACGGAACTGATCAAACCTCACTCTGCCACACTCTCAAGAGATCAATCCTGGGCTGGCTTCCTCTCCATTATAGTGTATTGCTTTCTTATTTCCCAGATCCTGGTTTGCTGATGGAGAAATCGGTCCCATCTGTTTTGACTTTAACCATTCTGGAGACTGGGAGAAAGACAATGATAGTGGAATGTTATGGGCCTTTTCCTAGTGCTGAGTTGAATTGCTCTCAAGTTGGCAGAAAACAAGAATTTTATTTATTTTTTACCCTGTCCTTATTGTCAGTCTCTACCTTGCACCTTACAACCACTGTTCCCAGTCACTGCAATCAATTTCCTTGTGGGCTATCATATCTCAGATTTTATCCACCTTCTAGCTGCCTGTGTCAGAATACTGTGGGAAACACTGCATTTGACATCAGTACAGCTGAGAATATCACAAGCTGGGGATAGTGGGCATTGAAGAAATGTAGATCTTTGTGCCATGGTTAGCTATAGAAAGAGAGAGCAATTGATGCCTGAACTGATATGGAATGACCCATTCTCCTCCTGATCTCTTGATTCCTTACAACTAAGAAAGAAAGCGAGTGGGGTAAAGAATTATTACTATTGTTGTTGACGGCTTGCAAGTGCAGCAAATCCCACTTTTTAAGACCCTATAGTTGCAAGTGCACAGCTTGCTGATCCATCAGCCATGGTTAACAAACTTCCATAAATGTGTTAACTAGTGTCAGAAGAATAATTTGGGATTCCAACTTGAACTGACGTTTGTATGAGAATAAATTAAAAAATGAAATCCAGACAGTTGTGAGGATGAGAAATATTTATTCCCCAAAGCAAAGGGGCTTTTCTTTAGGGGCAGCTGCAGAGAAATGGGGTACAATGACATTGTTTTATAAGGGAGCTTGTCCTAAATGTGGCAGTGCATACATGCTGATTCTAGAGTGACACTTGAGGGATGTGTGTGTGTGTGTGTGTAGATATATGTCATGTATGATGTTTATTCTTTGAACATGCAATTCCCCTGGAAGACCAATTTAATTTACTCTATGTACCAATAGAGTTTATCCTTTGATACATGGATTAGTTCTGGGTAACTTATTTGGGGGTTTGAGGAAGTTTGAGTAAAACATTTTTCCCCATTCCAGCCAGCCACAGTGGCACAGTGGTTAGAATGCAGTACTGCAGGCTACTTCTGCTGATCACCGGCTGCCCTCAGTTTGACAGCTTGGGTCTCACCAGCTCAAGGTTGACTCAGCCTTCCATCCTTCCGAGGTCAGTAAAATGAGGATCCAGATTGTTGGGGGCAATATGCTGACTCTGTAAACTGCTCAGAGAGGGCTGTAAAGCACTGTGAAGCGGTATATAAGTCAAAGTGCTATTACTATTGCTATTGCTATTTTTATTTGATTAACTTAGTTTCAGCTTGACTGTCAATTATCTAGTGGAGACACTGATTCTCAGTCCATTGTAGATTCTGGTAATTTCTTAAGGGGAGATGAAAGCAGTTTAAAGAACAAAATATATTTTGATATAAAATTTCCCACACTAGGATATATGTTACTTTGTCCCTTAACATAATTATTTGATTCACATATTAAGATGTAGTTTGACTTTTAGCTTAGCCATTAGGATAACCCATGTTTTTTTTATTTTTGCATTTGAATGAATGGCAAATTGCGTTTTAAACTACATTTCTCTTAATTAATTCATAACGAAGTTATTTCTACTCCAAAGAGAAGTCTGTTGTGGATTATTTTAATTAGATTTATATAAATAAATAAAAATATGATGGTAATAAATGTGACAATTCCTCTATTTATGACAACAGGTGAATCACCTTGTTTTCCTCATTCTATCCTTGTAAGAGTTTAGAAGACAGAAAACTCAAAATACTCAAATTCTAAAGAATGCTGTTGTGATTGTAGCTGACTTTCAGGCTTGGATGCACAAACCACCTGCTCAGAGTAAAGGTTAGCTCTGATCACCTGTAGATTTTTTCCTCTGCTAGACATAGAAAAGCTTTGAACTTCAGGCAACGGTCAGGTGGATTTTTTTTTTTTGAAGAACATATCTTCTTTTGATATGTTATGATGAAGTTAAACTTTTCATAGCGTTTGAAAGAGTGCTTCATTTGTAGAGGACCAATACTTTGTAATATAATCAGAGAAGTGGATTTTTCTATTAAGTAATTTGCAAGTAGTAATGTACGGTGATCTGAACAGTTCTCCAATTTATCTCCTCAAGCACTGAAGGTTGATATTTTTAAATTAAAGAGATTTTTTTAATCTTTTCAAATAAAACTTGATGCTATTTGCCTTTTATAGAATTGGCATAATCCTCTAGTCACATGCTTTTAGCTATATAGCCAGGAAGTGGCATTATACAAATTACTAGATAACTTATGACCTGTTGGGTCATCCTTTGAGGCAGGGGTGAAATCCAACAGGTTCTGACAGGTTCTGGAGAACCGGTAGCGGAAATTTTGAATAGTTCGGAGAACCGGGAAATACCACCTCTGGCTGGCCCCAGAGTGGGGTGGGAATGAAGATTTTGCAATATCCTTCCCCCAGGAGTGGGGAGGGAATGGGGATTTTGCAGCATCCTTCCCCTGCCATGCCCACCAAGCCATGCTCACCATGCCACGCCCACAGAACCAGTAGTAAAAAATTTTGAATTCCACCACTGCTTTGAGGGAAAGGGAGTTTGGATATCCCCCATTCTCTTTTCACACAGAATAATTAGGCTAATGATATATTTTTATTCCAGTGCAGAATGGTGCTCCTATCTCCTTAGAAAAGTTTCTTTAACATAGAGCTGCAGAGATGCTGCAATAGCCAGAACTTTGCGAATGAAACTGGTCTGAACATTGTGGATGTTTTAATGCATTCTTTAAGTTAGCAAATTTGAGGTACCTTTATTCAAAAATTGTTATAGTATAATGCACAGGGAGGGGGAATGAATTCTGACTTCATGCCAGCTTCCCCATTGACTTTTTTATAGGAAGCAGAGAGAGAAAATCACAAACACATGACCAGGAGACTTTGCATGAACTTCATAGAAATTTCAGTTCCACAGGAGTCCTCATTTTTTTCTACTTTCTTTAAGTTAGCCGTTTTTAGGTACTTTGAAATGAATCAAACATTGTAGTGGCATAATACACTAACTAATGGGCTAACTAAAGGGTACAAATAGACAGGAAAGTTATAGTAAATAGATTTCAACTTTTTATTTTTTTAGTGAGAGCCAATTTGGGGTTGTGATTTGGGCTCTAATCTAGAAACTGGGAGACTGTGAGTTCTAGTCTCTCTAATGAGCACTTGATTTTTGCAGCCCTGTTCTGGTTGCTTTATTTAAGACACTTAGTTTATTTGAAATTTGAAATAATAGTTTGTAATTTATATTTCAAATTAAACTCCCACCAAAAAAATTATTGGATATATCCCTATCCAGCTAAGGCTCATCTTATATTGTCACTCCAACATCTTTAACAATGCTCGGTCACAAATATGTACCATATTTCCTTGGAATTTTAGCTATCTCTGCTGTAACAGATTAACTGAACAGAAATTATAAAGTATTCTTTAAAAATTTGTGGGGGTGGGCAGTGTTTTTATGGGGATTTTTTTCCTCAAACAGCTCTTTAAGGCAGCTTTCAATCCAAAATTAAACCAATCTTCCAGTTTCACCAAAGACATAAATAGCAGTGGTGAAATCTAAAATTTGTTACTACTGGTTCTGTGGGCGTGGCTTGGTGGTGGTGGTGATAATGTGACTGGGTGGACGTGGCCATTTTTTTTTTTACTTTTAAAACCATTTTTTCTACAACCTCTTCGACGAAGAGGTTGTAAAAAAATGCTTTCAAAAGGCTCTGACGATCCCAGCTGAGTTGCCTGATTGGCAGAGGCTTTTTAAAAAAAGGGGTTTTTTTTCTTTTAAAAGCCTTTGACGATCCCAGCTGAGCCGCACGATCATCAGAGGCTTTTTTTTTTTACTTTTAAAAGCATTTTTTTGGCCAAAGAGGTTGTAGAAAAAATGCTTTAAAAGTAAAAAAAAAGCCTCTGATGATTGTGCGGCTCAGCTGGGCATGAGGGGGGGGGGCAGGGATTTTTGCTACCGGTTCTCCGAACCACCCACCTCCATCGCTACGGATCGGGCAATCCGGTCCGAACCGGGAGCATTTCACCCCTGATAAATAGCCAGTTTGGTGCAGCAGTTAAAAGCACCAGCTTAAAAACCAGGAGACCATGAGGTTTTGTCTTGCCTTAGACACAAAGTCAGTTCTGTGATCTTAGGCCAGTTACGTTCTCTCAGCCCTAGGAAGCAGCCAATGACAAATCACTTCTGAAACCTTGCTAAGAAAATTACAAGGACTTTGATCTGTCCCCGTCCACACACACACACAAACACAGCCAGCCGAGGGTTAAGGAAGCACTTGGAACACACTCAGGTCTTTATCTCCAACTTGACAGCGATATACATGCCGTCTGCCAAGTGCTTTATTTCCACAGAAACAGAAAGATAATATACTCAGCGTCCAAAAGTCCAACAACAATAAATATTCCTCCCAGCAGTTCCGAACGAGGCTTTAGTGACTATCCAAGGTTTAGTTTTGTTCGTCACAAGGATCACTGGCCACCACCCTCTATTATATCGTTTCTGGGGTGTGGTCCAGTGACTCAGTTCTAATCCCTAGCACGCCTCCTGAGCTGCTGCAATCGTTTATCACGCCTTCGGAGGCGTGCGTCCAGGAATGATGTTTCTCCTTCGCTCTCATCCGAGCCACCTGTCTCCCTGCTAATCTCCTCTCCCTCGGCCAGCACCTGAGACAGTGCCAGAGGGGAGGGGCCTGGAGAGGGAGGCCTGGCTGACTCCTCTTCCTCATGCTCGGAGCTTTCTTCCTCCGATGGGACAGGCTCAGAGGGCGGGGCCACAACAGACTTGTCCAAGTAGTCACCAGGAGTCAACACTGACCTAAAGGCACCACAAATAAATAAATAAATGTTTCAGACGTTAAGGGTTAATGCGTTAAAGAAGAGTCCTATTGTGGAGATTAAGGGGTAGCTAATGAAGCTGAAATTGCATCTGACCAAATATAATTCCAATTGCATCATATTAATAATGACTGGTCACTCCAAACCGAATCCACCAAAGTTTCCAATGCTTTCAAAGGAAAATTCATGTTAAGCACCTTCCAGTTATCATTTATGGCCAGATAATGTATCATCTTGCAGTGTGATACTTTCATATTATGTTCCCTGTCTCTGCAGATTCATAACGTTTTATCTAGAAGCTGCAGTCTTATTCGCCATTTGTACTGCTTTAAGAAATCAGCCCCATGGCATTGTTTAAAAGGCCATGGATAGTGGATTGGTAACAGACTCTTGGCTTCAGCTACCTGTCTAGCATCAACTGAGATTTAGGTCACCTGTCTAGTAGCTCCAGATGGCTGTGCAGGCTGCAGCTATTGCCCCATCGTCTGCGGCTTTGGCAAGACTAATTATTTCAAAGTATTTCACTCCGGTCTAATGTCTACATAAGATAACTGTTAAAAAACAATGCTCTTAGTTAGTTTTCTATATTTCTTTGCTACTTTGTTGCCTGGACTTTTACAGATAGCCCTAAACTACTGTCAGGTTTAATATATAGGGACAACTTGCTGGCTAGCCTACCAGCGCATGGTTCCTAAAGAGATTAGACCCTAGTAAGCCAATTCATCAACGTTCATAAAACACAATTTTCATTAGAAACAAATACGAAACTAAGAAAACAAACCAAATAGAACAATCTAATGCAAGAATCGAATTACTGATTGGAACTCTTCATTAAAAATCTCCTCCCTGCTTCTATGTTGAACATGGTAACTTCATCACTCTCTTATATAAGTAGTCTTCCTCTCCCACCAGGAGTCAAAACTATCACTCTCTTCCTGCAGAGAAAGGCAAAAAAACAAACAAAAATAATTTCTTTATGGCTGTATAAGGGTCAGTTCTTGCCACTTCCTTGAAGATACAACCTCTGTTAACCAAAGTATGTAATGCAGAGGTGGGTTTCAGCAGGTTCTGACCAGTTCTGGAGAACCGGTAGCAGAAATTTTGCGTAGTTCAGAGAACCGATAAATACCACCTCTGACTGGCCCCACCCACATCTATTCTCTGCCTCCCAAGTCCCAGCTGATCGGGAGGAAATGGGGATTTTACAGTATTCTTCCCCTGCCATGCCCACCAAGGCACACCCACCAAGCCATGCCACGCCCACCAAGCCACACCCATAGAACTGGTAGTAAAAAATTTTGAAACCCACCACTGATGTAATGTGAACTCCACACATGGGCAGCTATGAAGGGGTTTATTAAGCTTTGTCTTTGGTATGTTTCCCAACATACCAAAGGCTGAAAATGAGAACCAAATATCTGTTAAATGTGAAAGACGCCCCCAACTGCAGTCTGAAAAGTAGTTGAGGGAGTAAAAATTTAAAAGTAAGAACACTTCTTTCTACTATAGATATAGTCCTGGTTTGGATCTTGAGTGAGGGCTAATCCTATCATGTCCTGAGGGCCATATCTTTTGTTTTGTAGATAAGCTGGCTCAGCCTTTGTCTTGTAGATAGGTTGGCACCAAAATATCTCCGGGGGTGGGGGGGCAGGGAGCTGAGGTTCTGAGTTTATGTCTTTAGAAACATGTTTTTTCTTTAGAGAAAATACAATATTCTACCTTTTTAATTTTTCCTAGAATATTTCATTTTTCTGGAAGAGGGGTGGGTGCTAACTTCTTACAATGTATTTTGACTGTAAGATGCTTTCCTCTCCGAAGTGCTGGCAAGAAATGAATCTTCCCCATGCAAAATATGCTTCTGCCACTAAGCTATTAGCCCCTCCCTTAGGCATATATGCTGCTATTTAGGGAAGCGAGCGGCTGTTTATTTTTATCTGTCCCTTCTTTTCTCCTGCATCATCTACTTTCATTGCGGGGATGACAAAAATAGTACCAGGCAGGAGATGCTGCCAGTTTCCCACAGCAATAGCCAGTCCCTGAAAGCTGCATTTTCAGCCTCTCGTCCGCCATACCTTTGCACTGTTAGACAATTAGCAGCTGCTGACTCTGTTGAAGACGGGCTGACTGCCTTCCAATCTTTTATAACTCTCAAGAGAGCCTTGGTTAACTGAGGATCTCAGCCTGGAGAAGACAATGCATATTCATGGCGCAGCCCCTATTGGTCACGTGTACCTATTGCTAGGTTACAAGGACCCAAAAATAAATCCTTCAGTTTAGATTAGACCTCAGATGAACTGTTTCCACCGCTGTGGAAAAGACCAGAAAGCTAGTTATAGCATGGATATTAATGAGGAAAAGAAAAGAAAAGACAGCGCAATAATGAGGAAAACCTCTGATGGGTAAAGAGAGGGTTCTCCCTGGTTTGGGAATCCTCCTTTGGGGGCACATATTTCCCTAGGCAGACATTGTTTACACAGTTGCTCCCGATTTGCTCTCATCATCACTGCAGAGGGCAGCAGAGCTCGGCACTGACACACCATCATGAAAGTAGGACAGATTTGCACCATAAGGTTGACTTCCTCGTGTTTAGTGCCTTGTTAATTGCCCAGTTGGATAGCATCTTTTGAATCAGACTATTTCTACCATCAAGGATTTTGACATTAGATCCAATCCAAAAAGCATTTGGCAGGGGTTGTAATCCATGAGAAGTGTTCCAACAAAGGGAACACGGCAGTTAACACAGGAGAGCGGTTGGGCATCCCATGCTGATCTCTATCTCTGTATCTTCATGTGTAGTCCATAAGCAAAATACGTGAAACTAGGTGCTTACACAAACGATTTCTTTTGTTCAAAATTAGAGGGCATAGCCCATATAAGTGGGCTATTTTCCACAATGCTCATTCTTTTCATATCGCGGACCAAAAATGTTTAAACTTTGAAAGGAAAGCCATGCTAAACCTTACTTGATGAAAACAAGATAGCCATTCTTACTTTCAAAGAAGTTGTGGCCATCTCCCCAAATGTTTGTTCTAGAATTCCAAGGGTGTTTGTAACAACCACAAGATGCCTTTAGGCTGGAAGAACCAGGATATTCAAATTCTTCTTCTGCTGGCTTTCTTCAATACTTTGGTTTTTTAAAAAAAAAGTTTGGTTAAAAAAAATGGTTAGGGACTTGGGAGCCAACCAATGTCTCATTTTGCTATCTTCTGGAAATAGTCTAGATTAATTTAATTCTAGAAGACAACCATGCTTTTTAATTAAGCTCTACCACCACCATACCCTTGTAGGAAGTTAGCACCCACCCCTCTCCTAATATTTCCTAGAAATATTAAAAAGGCAGAATATTATACCTCCCTGGATGAGAAAAGGAGAAACATGCTCTTGGAAGGCAGGCCCCACCTTTGTTAATAGCCCCATAAATGCTGGGCCAGTTTATCTACAACACAAAAGACCCATAGGACATAATAGGATTAGCCATCTCACCACATGACACCTGAGAAGATTACATCACCCAGCAAGATTCAATCAAGCCTGGGATTCAAGACAACCAACAAAGTTACCCCTGCATGGCCCCATGGGAGTCTGACAACCAATCAGGATACAGTTCTTGCCACAGGAACAAGAAGCAAGTTCAAAGCCCAACAGAGGGTATAAATTTCTCTCCCTCTCTCACCCATGTGCTCTTTTTGCTCAGGACCTCAAACCATACGGTCCTGTCCACCATTAAACCATTTTTCCAAGCAGTCTCCATGTTTCCAGTGTGTTTCTTCCCACTTGGAACTGAACCCAGGTGATCATTTCTTCCAACACTCTCCAAAAAAACCTCTAGAAAATGTACCAAAATTATTATTTAAAATATTACTTTGTTGATACGTTAGTTAAAATTAGACAATAAATTGAACCCTTAACATTATTTGAATGGATCAAAAGCTACACATATACACCTTTTTCTCTTAAATAAGAAATATTAAGAACCAAAAGGTAGCATAGTTCCAGATTTCCATCTTTTCCCCATTATAGAATCACAGAAATTTCCAGATTACTACATCCAAAAGCAGCATCCTGGGCTTTGGAAATGACCAAGATCCCAAATTAAAAGCTATAGCAAAAGCAATGTATTTCCCAAAACACACAACTCTGGAATGCATGGTCACAGAATATATTTATTTAATGTAGGGAAAGAAACAATATTACTGTATCGTTGTCTGTGAATAGATGATCCAAGCAGTATAAGAAATATTTATCCGGAATATTTGTGTTTGCTCAATCTGTTGATCATCTTCTGGCTTTCTACACACTGGTTTAGAAATTGATTCAAAAATAATGTTTTATTTTAAATTCTGTCTGTGGATCTAATTCTTCTCAACTAGTGGTTCCATTGTAAAAGCTGAGTGCGTCAACCCTGGAGCCATCTTTGAGCGTCTTCAGGGTTGCCACAGCGAGGCTGGCTGGAGCTGTGGGAAAGGGAGGGGGGAGTAGTGATGGTTGTGTGTAATGTGGGCAAGAACTTTGGATTTGAACTGGGAGGGAAAAAAACTCCTGGGGACCAGTGGTGGGTTTCAAAATTTTTTACTACCAGTCCTGTGGGTGTGGCTTGGTCGGCGTGGCATGGCTTGGTGGGTGTGGCTTGGTCGGCGTGGCAGGGGAAGGATACTGTAAAATCTCCATTTCCACCCCATTCCAGGGGAAGGATACTGTAAAATCTCCATTATGCCCACAATCCAGGGGAAGGTTACTGCAAAATCCCCATTTCCTCCTGATCAGCTGGGACTTGGGAGGCAGAGAATAGATGGGGGCGGAGCCAGTCAGAATTTTTACTACCGGTTCTCTGAACTACTTAAAATTTCCGCTTCCAATTCTCCAGAACTGGTCAGAACCTGCTGAAACTCACCTCTGCTGGGGACATATGACATGCCTAAGAAATCTATATTTTGAGGAACCCTGCCTTGGAGTTTTGATTTCCTAAGGTCTGTTGCTTGGATCCCTGGCATTGTGTATGCAAATACAGGTAGACTTATGACCACAATTGAGTCCAAAATTTCTGTTGTTAAATGAGAGATTTGTTAAGTAAGTTTTGCCTGATTTTACTACATTTCTTGTCACAGTTCAGTGAATCACAGCATTTGTTAACTGAATCACAATCGCAATTGTTAAGTGAATCACTGCAGTTGTTAAGTTAGTTAACAATACTGTAAATCTGACTTCCCCACTGACTTTGCTTGTCAGAAGTTCACAAGAGGTGATTATATGGCCCTGCGATACAGCAACAGTCATAACTATGAACCATTTGCCAAATATCTGAATTTTAATCAGGTGTGACAGTGAGGATGCTACAATCGACATAACTATGAAAAACAGTATTAAGTCACTTTTTTCAGTGCCATTGTAACTTTGTACAGTCACTAAATGAATTGTTGTAAGTCCAGGACTACCTGTACACATGTAGAAGAGTGTGTACAATCACCAACACACACACACACATGGTTGTATCTTCCAGAATACTCTGCTTGAGGATGTCTTTGAGACAGAGGTAGCCAATCTGATGATGTCATTCCTTCTACTTCAAGCTTTGCACTTGTTTATATGTATGTCAATACATATTGTTGATGATCTGTCCCCGTCCACACACACACACAAACACAGCCAGCTGAGGGTTAAGGAAACACTTTGGCACACACCCAGGTCTTACCTCCAACTTGGCAGCGATTTACACACCGTCTGCCAAGTGTGTTTATTTCCACAAAACAGAAAGATAAGATACTTAGCGTACAAAAAGTCCAAGCAGAATAATATTTCTCTCAGCAGTTCCGGACGAGGCTTTAGTGACTATCGAAGGTTTACTTTTGTTCGTCACAAGGATCACTGACCACTACCCTCTATTATATAGTCTCTGGGGTGTGGTCCAGTGACTCAGTTCTAATCCCTAGCACGCCTCCTGAGCTGCTGCAATCGTTTATCACGCCTTCGGAGGCGTGCGTCCAGGAATGATGTTTCTCCGTCACTCTGATCCGAGCCACCTGTCTCCCTGCTAATCTCCTCTCCCTCGGCCGGCACCTAAGACAATGCCAGAGGGGAGGGGCCTGGAGAGGGAGGCCTGGCTGACTCCTCTTCCTCATGCTCGGAGCTTTCTTCCTCCGATGGGAGAGGCTCAGAGGGCGGGGCCACAACAGTTGACTAAATTTATCCAGGTAACTACTTGAAATGATATGAAAAACTGAATAAACTGAATAAAATTGAATCATTCATTGCTATTACTGGTGATCAGGTTTTTGAGAGAAATTCAAAATGGAGAGACAGCCTTTGGACAGCGATGATATAGTTTTATTGTCAAACTATATTGTCTTTTTTTGCCTTGTAGCCACTTCATGCAGAGTTGCACTTAGCTATTGAAAACGTGTTTCTACACCAAACAGAGTCAAACAAAAGCTGACAGCTTTTTCATGCAACTGGGAACCAATTTATTCAAAGGCATCTGGACAAAAGCATAGGAAAGGCTGATACTGGGGAACTAACAAGGAGATGGAAAGTAAGTTCCAAGGGAAGGGTAAATATATAAATTCAGAGTAGTTGTGGGGCACATGGAGAATCTTCACCTCCATTGAAAGACTCTTTCACTGATGCTTTCAAAGCCTTTTAATAAAACCCATTACCAGGCAGTTTCATTTCAGAGAATGAACACAGGGCTACAACCCTGTAGAAATATTTTTCAGTCTGGCACATTGGCTGAACTTGAACACAGAGAAATACCTGGGAGAGCGGGAGACCTCACCCGGGTCATGTTTTCAGTTCACAAACACGAGGTTATGTGATTTGCATTGTGTGTGATCTTGAGGCTGGCTGCATGTGGTCATGCTACTGGCAAAGATAATGGTGGAGATGGCAGAATCACAGCCTCATGGGACTTTAACCTTGGTGAGTCCAAGGCAGCTCAGGAGCTCCTAGTCCCAATGGCAACTATGGACTTGTCCCAGGTAATATAGAGCTCAGTGCATATTGGGCACTAGGTCTGTGTTTTGTCTTGGGGCAGTTACAGTGACATCTACTATGTGAGGTTATTAGTATCACTTCATTACATGGAGAAATCATTCTTTGGATGCCCTCTGATTTGCTAATAGCTCACACAAGCAAGGAGACCCATCCTGTTGGATTAGCCTATCTAGCCAGTTGACTAGCCAGTTGACTGATGG